GGTGCATAAATTGGATTTTTTTTAATACAAATTCTTTTTTTCATTAATAAACTAATGACTAAACTTTAAACTGGGAGAAGAAAAAATGAATATATTTGAATTTGATGCAATAAATAATTGAATTTGTTGCATCAAATTCAAATTTTTAAATAAATTTAAATTTGATGTGAGAAAATTTAAATTTCTGACATCAAATTCAAATTTGGTTGCTCTTGTTAAATTTTTATCGAACAAGGCTTTATCAATCTAAATCTAAATTAGGTAAATAACTTATTGTTAAAGAGTTATATAAATCTAGTTTCTAATAAAATAATACCTATTAAAAATTCTTTATATTTCTAAGGCTATGATTAAAATTGTGAATAAATGTCATAAATATTAGGGGGGAATTACAATCAAATCCCACAAAAAAATAATTACCAAAAAGTCCCAATAACAACCTCAACAGCTTATAATGACAAGTCCTATAGTGAGAATAACAACCTCTGATACTTGTTTTTCAATTGTTTTCCTTGCTTGGGACCTTGTTGTAATTCTCCTTAAATATTTCAGCTTTGACCTTTGATTAATATAGTTATAGTATTTCACAAACTATAAATACTTCTAAAGTGAAATTTATTTGATATAACTATATACAAAATAAGCTTTTCAATAATATCTATCTAAATAATTTACTCTTACTCACTATCTTGAAAATAAATTTCAAAATACACAGAATTTTTAAATGGATCGTGTTGCATTAAAAATTAATTTTAAAGAATGATAAATCATTTGACCTATTTAAATTTAAATTAACAAATATATGTCATCTAAAAATTCACATTTTAACTGACTTTATTTATGTCCATTTAGGTTTATAAATTTTTTGGTTATACTTTCTTTTTTTCCTTGTGAATTTATTTTTATTCCCTGTGCAAACTTTTCTGTTTTTTTTTTGTATTTTACTATTTAATTATTTTTTAATTTCTTAATATTTATAGTTATTTTTATATTTATATTGAATATTTATATTTTTTTAAATTATAACATATTTTTATACAATTATTTTTTTGAAGTATTGTTTTTTAATAATGTTATTATTCTATAAGGTTAAAAGACATTTTCATTTAATAATATTATATTCTGTCATTAAGGGTGACATAGTAAAAGTGCACAGTTTTTTTTTAATCCATTTTCATCTGACCAAATATAAAATTTTTTATCAACCCATTTTCTATTTCAATTTTTAACAAACACATCGTTATTTAAAAAATTTTTCATTCCGCCCACACCTTTTCATTCTAACTAATTTTTTCTACCAATTGGGCTTTATGTTTGTTTGGACGAAAAGAAAAGTTAGGAGCAAAAAAATGGAGGAGAGAAAATAAAGAAAAAGAAAAACTGAATAGCAGATGTTATCGTCCTTTTTGCTTAGATAGATTAGAAGAAATAAAGAGGAAAGAAAATTAGCAAGTGTTTAAATGACTAAAATGTTCTTTATCAAAATATATCATATTTAAAATTATATTAAATTAAATAGTGCAATAGAAAAATTATACTAAAATTAACATCATCAAATAATTTAAAATCAAGTTATTGGGTTTATATATATTTTCAGATTATTATACTTAAAACCAAATTATTTAATAAAAATATTGTTGTAAGATAAAAAATAAAAAGTGAATAAATTTTTAAATATAATAAAAAAACTAAATATGGAGAGGGAGAGAGAGGAAGGACAGTCATGAAAATCTTATTTTCTTTTCCAAACCTCTCTATATGTAGAGAGAAAATTTGAAAAGAAAATAAGACATGAGGCCCATTTTATTTTCTCCACAACTTTTCCTTCTTCTCATATTTTCTCTCCTATCCAAACAAAACAAAACTTGTTTCTCCTTCTGTTTTCCTCTCTAATTTTCTTTCTTTCCTAGATTCTGTTAATATATTTTAAACACTCTAGTGGGTTATTTACAATCCTCATGAGATGTCATTTTCAAAAAACTAATTTAAACTCTCCTCGCACGATAGTTGGAAATAAAAATTGAGATATACATGAGATATGCTCTGTGGTCCTAAGGTAAAAATTGCCTACGGAGATCAATTTACATCAGTGAAACCTCGGCGTCTTAAAAATTAGTAGAAGTGAAATATCACATTTGATCCTTCATATAAAACCTAATTAACTAATTTGAATAGATTAAGAATGTTAATTAAATTAATTAATATGATTTTTTTAAAAAAAACCCTCAGCATCTTTTTAATTCCCTTCCTCCCCTTTCTACTTGATCATTGTTGAGAGAACACCGATAAGGTTAATTGAGAAAAAGCTGATAATTATATGAAATAAGTCTTATATTTAGAATCAATATTAACTTTCCAATTAGGTTTTATATTAAAGGCTGGAGGAGTATTTTAAAAAATATTAACTTGATAATTTTATAAGAAGTAATAGCACTTCAAAGGTGTAAAATAGATTTGTATAAGCAATTACAAATAATAACTATAATAAAGGCATAAATAACTATATTTATTTAAGGTTAACAAAAAGAAGTAATTTTTTGTTATAACAAAAAAAAAGTAATTTTAATTAAACTATATGAGATTTTTTTTTTTTGCGAATTTAAGGTATGGATAAGAAATTGTTGCGAGAAAAAAAAAACTATTTTCATTCTATTTTGACAAGTGATTTTGATTAGCCTATCAGAATAAGTTGAAAACAAATTTCTTTTAACATTCCCTTACGTTTAGCTTAAAATTCTCCTAACGGCTCCCTAAATATGTGTCAGCTGGGAGCACGTATGCAAGCTTTGGCAAGCTCAAAGGTTCTTTCTCTTCAGTAATAAAATATGGTTCTGAGAAGGAAAATTTGAGAAATTACGAGAAAGAAAGCACTGTAATCCAAAGCATTCATAAGTCATAATAATATGAGAGGTCAATACTGTTTGAGTACTCTGTGATGTTCTGTTTCTCACTTTGCAGTTATACTAATTTAGATAACTAAATGATAAATGATTATAAACATCTTACTTGACAAACACACCAAATCATCGTTCTTAAAGCATACGGTTAACAGCAAGTCTTACAAACAAATGTGAAAATAACTTTAAAATTCACGCCTCATCATAAATTTAGAAGAAACAATACAACAATATATAAGAGATGCACACAGTGTTTTTTCGTCAAATATCAAACATTATACAAACTTCAACATTAACAATAAAACAACACAGCTTGAATCAAATCAAGTGATCGTTCCTCCATTTCAATATTGCCTTCACGCCATATTATGCTGCTCGGAGCAAACTTATTCCTGTTCATGTGTCCATACCACAATTCTATGAGAAATTGAATAACAATGTAATCAAACTAAATGCAGTGGATAAAAAAGTCTGAAAATTATAATAAAAAAAATTTAGATACATTCTGAATCGTACCTGCTTCAGGGATGGATGACAAAGTATGGTTGAAGGAGATGCTTAGCCTGGGGTTGGTCCCACTGCAGTGATTCCCACCTCTCTGTTTCACATGATATTTGTTCAAGTGTAGTAGTTGATGGTGACATTTGCTGATCTTTCTCTATTCCAAGAGGGAATTTATTTAGAGCATTGCAGCGAACAACTTTAATGGTGCGTAGAGAATCACATCGAATGTCCCCATTGTACATGCCTTTCAATCCTCATAAATCACTCAATTTCAACCTTTGCAATTTTGGAAGGGTCACTTTGGCTGCATGGCCGCTGTCCTGAGTGTTTGTATTCCCCTCCTTCCATACTTTCTTCCATTCCCGGGCAAAGACCGATGGCAATTTCTTCAAGACTCTGAAGTTCGAGCATGAGCTGCGTTGGGAACAGAAATTTCAATGATGGACATCCTTGCACATGAATACTCTTCAGGTTCATTAGAGTACCTGGTTTCACAACTTCCCCGCAAATCATCCGCAAATGTGGCAAAGCATATAGATGCATTCTCTCCAACTGTGAAAAATTGTTCTCCTCTGATTCCGAAATGCATTCCATCTCAGGACAACTTCCTAAATTGCAAGTTTTCAAGTGCATTGCATTCACTAAGTGCAAAGACAAGCGTTTGATCATACCCTGAGAATTGCAAATTATCAACTGCATAACATTTCTTGGAATCAATTTAGTAATCTCCGCTTCTGAAAGGTTCTCTGCTTCTTACATATCTATTGCAAAACTAGTTCTCTCAAATAATTCTACAGTGTCATATGCATAGCGAAATCCAACGGCAAGCTTGAACTCCTTCAATTGAGAAAACTTGAGATGTTCAGCAATTTTTTAGAAGTTGCAATGCTATTTAATTGCATGTGCACAAGAGACAACTCATGGCAGGATATGATTTCTTCAACTCTAATTGGATAAGCACAAGGTTTTGTATCCTTAGATGATATCCCAATCATATGCGAACCCAAAATCAAAAAGTCCTCCAGAAAAGTAAATTTGGATATAACTCCAGCTTTTAAGTTTTGGACAGACGTGAAGGAGAAATCCAGGTGTCTCAAATTGGTTAATTGTTCCACCGCTTGTGGAAGTTCTGTTAAACGTCTTGAAAAGGAAAAATCTAAATACTGATTCAGTGAGCCTTGCTAAAGATGGAACTTCAACAAGATTCCAACAATGGTTGAATATCAAGGCACATATATTCTTCAAATTTGAAAGAGACCCAGGCAGAACTTTGATCCCAATACAGGAGAGATCAAGAACTTTTAGCGCTTGCATGCTGTCAAAGAAGTCATATGATATATTTTTCTCAAATGAATTATATTGAGGTAGCAAAGAAGTGAGTCTAGGACACCTTGGACTGAAGTTTATAGATTTCACATCATTTCCAATCATTGATACCCATTGAACATCTTCTTTCCATTCTTGAGGCGGTGGTGGTTTTACTTGTCCCGCGCCAGCTTTTGCAATGCATCTAGGCTCTGTACTCATGATTGTGAGGGCCATATCTCTAATCAAATCATGCAATTTCACACATCTCACCCTATTCTCAATTTTTAATTCTCACAAGCAAGCAGATATCAACTCACATACAATCATTTGCCCCTTTCGTTTCATCTCGACCATGCTTACACCACCCAGTAAATCTTCCCACACCCAATAATTAATCAATTCATTCTCTTCAATTAGATGACCTTTTGAGTATAAAGCACAAAACAGAAAGTAAGTTCTCCTTGCATCATTCTTTAGTTTCGAATAGCTCAACTTCAAACGAGAACGCAATACTTCGTCAACGTTGTATATATCAATACTTGACCTTTTGAACTCTTCTAATGCATTCACCCGCTCTATTATATCAGTTGTGTTTCTTAATGCACGTCCAACTGCAACAATAGCTAGAGGCAAACCACAACACTGTTTCACCGCTTCCATTACAATTGATTGTACATCCAGATCTGATAGTACAAGTTCCCCAGCTTTGTCCTTGAAGAGATTCCATGCTTCATCCTCTAAAAGAAGTTTCAATTCAACATCCTCTTCTCTTTCCATGTCTCTGCACACTATACGGCTTCGAGTTATTATTACTAATTTACAACCATTCTCTGTTGTTAGCACAGGAATTCCAACTTCTTCTATAGAGAATGGTTCCCAAACATCATCTAAAATCAGTGCAAATGTCTTCCTCCTATTAAAAGTTTCTAACAATTTTGAAGCTCTTGCTTTTTGGTCATCAGTTTCATTAAAGTTCAAACCTAACTTCACAGCTATATCTTGTTGCACCTTATTTAGATCGTTTGATGCTACTACCCAAATAATGCAATTGTATAGACTATTTCCTTTCACTAGGCAGTTGTGAATCTCTGACATGATTGTTGTTTTACCCTCTCCTCCCATCCCCCAAACACCAATTCTTCTGGTATTCGTATCATGTAAGAATCTCTAAATCTTCATACAAGTTTGTTTATGTGTTTCATATTCCACCATTGGAGTTACAGACAGAACACCACCTCTCTTGTTTACAGGAATAGCAATTGAATCCTCTAAATGTGGGACATTCTCTAGAAGTTCATGAATATCTCTGATCTTCTCCTCAATAAGTTTCCCCAACTTGATTCTTGAACAAATGAAACAGCAACATTTAGTTGATCTGTACTGACCATTTTCATCCATGAGGCTACTTACATCTGCTTTTACTTGATCAACTCGCTCAAACCATAAATTACATTCCCTTGTTGGCTCTGCCCTTTTAGATGCCACAAGTGATTTAGTTCATCTTCAACATCTTTCTTACAAGATTCAGCTGCTGAATATTCCTCTTGGATGTTTTCCAGTGTTTATAATTGTTTCTAAATACTTCACGCAGAGAGCAACACAAGCCTATGATGCTTGACACACTTGCAGGAACTTCCATGGTTGGCTCCAGGGAATTCAAACAAACAGAGGAATTATGAGAAGCAACATGTAAATTACTGCAGCTAGTGTATTACGTCAGCTACACATTGAAAACATAATGAAAGGTCAAATATATGATCCCCGAAACTTTATATGCAGGAACAACATGAAGAGCAGGAATACATCTGAACAACGATATCCTCATATACAAGACTAATTCATGCTTCTGTGTGATGCGTGCATGATCAAGCTAGTGAAAGAGTAATGTCAGGAACAGCGTGAACTATCAAACAGTTGAATGTTACTTTAGTTGGGTATTCAGGGTATTGCAATAAACTGACAGAAAAATTTAAAGTGGTGTTTATCATTCGGGGCCGTTGAGTCACTTCGGATCAGGTTGCATAGGGCTCGTTCTTCAAACACAAAAAATGCCAAATCCAGATGTTGCATAAGCTAAAGTTGAATCCAGAGATAAAGGAAATACATCAAACCAAAGCGAACAATAAAGGGGAAGAAAAGAAGATAATCGTACCAAGCTTCTATCTGAACACACAAAAGCTCATATTTGGTCAAGGCATCGCAATCCATCACCCTTCCTCCTTCTCTTTGAAATCATCCATGTCTTTTGTGGTTTTCATAATGATTGATTCTATCTTATGTTTCTATCCTTCTCTTCCATCCATATTGGTGGAGAGAAAGTCAGAAAAGAGGGAAATGATGTAGAAAACAAAAACAAGAAAAAAGAGACAAGAATTTGCGAATTTAAAAAAGAATAGGTGATGTATTATATATAATCTACTTCCTTTAGTTCTTCTTTCTAATTTACATTCGTGTTCTCTTACTAACTCTGTATTATAAATTATTCTTTTAATCTTAGTAATATTTATATTTTATAATAAAAAAAAGAAGAAGAGGTGATTTCGGGACACCTGTCCCTCATTTTTCCCATTTTTTTTTTT